CCGTGTTCGGGCCATTTAGGTGTCATTCGAACCTATGCCTGCGTCATACAGCGATTCTACTGGGCAAACATGTACCGCACAGTCAAACGATATGTCTCGTCCTGTGACTCCTGCCAACGTCGCAAAACACCATCTACGCGGCCCTCGGGACTACTTCAGCCTTTGGCTCCTCCTGACCACCCGTTTCATCGAGTGGGAGTAGACCTTCTCAGCCCATTTCCTGAGTCCTGCACTGGCAAACGCTGGGTTGCGGTTGCCGTAGATTATGCCACACGGTACGCGATTACAAGGTCCCTTTTCACTGGCACTGCTGTCGACGTCGCCTATTTCCTCCTTGAAGATGTAATCCTCAAGCATGGTGCACCAAGAGAACTCCTCTCCGACCGAGGTCACCCCTTTATATCCAGAGTCGTCAGTGAAGTTTTACGAAACTGCTCCATTGTCCACAAACAGACAACGGCCTATCATCCCCAAACAAACGGCCTGGTTGAACGACTCAATAGAACAATCTCCGAGATGCTTTCTATGTATATATCCACCGACCACCGCAATTGGGACACTGTCCTTCCATACGTTACTTTCGCCTACAACTCCTCGCGCCACGACACCACAGGCTATTCGCCTTTCTATCTTCTATTCGGCCGTGAACCCTCCCTCATGCTTCATTCCCTGCTTCCCTTGCAACATGACACTACGCTCACAGACCACACGCTCGACGCCATGTGTCGTGCTGAGGAGGCACGCCAATTAGCACGCTTTCGGACTCTAGATTCGCAAGAGCGGCGATGTGTTCGCTACGATCACGAACGCAACGTCGCCATTTACTCTCCCGGAGATTTGGTGTTGCTCTGGACACCTCAGCGTCGCATCGGCCTCGCTCAAAAGCTCCTTCCACATTATCGCGGTCCATACAAAATAATTCACCAAACCTCCCACGTCAATTATGTTGTCGAGCCTTACGGACCCCGCCAAAATCAACGCAGACGTTGATCTCCAACCACAGACGGTTCATGTCCTACGACTCAAGCCATACCACGCTCCTCAAAACGGCGAGACGCCGTTTCCCCCGGCGGGCGAGTAATGATGCGAAGAGGAAAAAAAGGCATTTCGAGATTTGCGGACCAAGGAAGACGAAGACACGAGAGCGGCTCGCTTGATTTCCTACAAGAACTCTTATTTTTTCGATGTCCCCTTCAATGTAAATTAAATCACCTCATAATCAACGTAACAATATGTTCAAGCAGCTTCGAGCATGTACTAACAAGCGAAATGGGGCGATAGTTGCTCACGTCAGACACACTGCCATCTTTGTGGATAGGAACTACTTTCACGCATTTCCAAGCACTAGGAAAGGAACAATTATTGATGGATGACTAATAATAATAATAAACCTTTATTCATAGGAATAAACAAATACATATACAGGTCTGCCTAAGCTAGGGAGGCTTGTGTGGCATGACCTGGCAGTACAGCCCATTCCTTGCAGAAATAGCAGGTCACAATGTAAGTCACTAAATGTCAACTCTAGATCTATCACTTGGTAGTATCATAAAATAACTTTTTCAGACTCTTTTTGAGCCCCTGGTTAGAAGTATTAAAAAATAAGTTATCTAATAGTTCATTGAAAATCTGTGGTACTTAAAATGACCTAATGCTTTCCTCATAGTGAGTATAGATGCCGGGAATTTCATAGCGAGTAGTGTTCCTAAATGTATGTGCGGCCGCCCTCTCAGTTTTAAATTCGCTGCACCAAAAGTGACGACAAACGACCGTCTGAATAAACAATGAATAAGAACAAAGCAGTTTGAGTAAACTAAATATGTTATCACTTGAGGAAGGTGTTGAACTATAAGCAGCACTTTTTAACATCCCCCTCAGAATGCTATCAATTCTGGCGTTCCAGTGTACCTAAAGACGAATAGTGTACCTAAGGACACTGTACGCCAAAGAGTGCATGAGCATTTTTCTACTTGCGAACGGAAGGAACACTTTTACGTTATAGAGCTGACAAGATACACTTCTTAGACGTTTCGACACAAAAGAGAGGTGCATAGTTTAAGACAGGTCAGAATCAAAGTATATTTCTAGATACTTAACAGAAGAGACATATTGAACAGGGTTGAAACAGCATGATATGCAATTGGAGTTGTGCAAAAATAAAGGCGGAAACAATGTGATTTTTTTTTCACGGGCTGCGGAAGCATACCAGCTTTGTTTTAGAGGCGTTTACACTTATTTTGTTCTTTCTAAACCAATTCGTGACAGTAATGACATTTTTCTGCAGGTCCAGGATGGCATGTTTGGTATTAGTATTGCAAGAAAAAAGCAGAGTGTCATCTGCACATTGCAATACGTTACACGTAACCACTTGAGAAAGGTCATTAACATATACGTTAAATAAAAGAGGGGATAAAACGGAACCTTGTGGGGACTCCAGAGCTGAGTGTGACCTTTGTGCTATATGAACTTCTCCAACAGACAGGAGTTGAAAACTTGCGCACAAAATATTCCTAAGCAAATGATCAAAAGGACCCCTGAACCCAAGGTGAAACAGCTTATCTAATAAAATGTCATGGTTCACTGAATCAATGCTTTTGCAACATCAACAGAAAGTGCACAGACACAAAAGTGGTTGTCAGACGACGAATACAAAGAATCTGAAAACACGTCCAGCAGAGATGACGTGCCTCGACTAGAAACAAAGCCGTACTGTGAGGGTGATATGATATTGTACTCATTTAGAAAACTCGTCATACAAAACACAAAATGTTTTTCGAGGATTTTAGAAGTACACGGCAGAGTCGAAACGGGTCAATACGAGGAAAACTGATTACGCGGGCCGCCTTTATAGATTTGGTACTACGATTGCAGTTTCAAGGTCGTCTGGCACCAATCCCGATTATATGATTTTGTGTATAAGAGATAAAAGCAGGTTCTCGAGTGACTTGAAATTATCACGAAAATCCCTCACAGATATGCCGCCAAGTCCTGAAGACATGTTTCATTTTAGGCCAGATAAAATGGATTGTAGGTCAGTCTATGATAATGTAGGAAGAAATGCAGAAGTTGCAGTTACATTCCCGCCGTTGGCGTACATTGCACCATCACAGTTGCTATCATAGATGGGAGTGGCGAAATATTTATTAATTATTAGCATGTTAGCTCGCTCTTTCGCGAGCTACCACGCAACTTGCTAATTATAGGCCAAGTTTCCTTAGAGTTGATATGAGCTTTGAATATTTTCTCTGAAAAGTAGTTTCGTTTCGCAGAGCTTATGAGAGCATTTACCCTATTATGTGAGTCCCTCCACTCTCAACCGTTCATCGCCGCTCTTTAGTTTTCATAGCGCCAAGTCAGCCATACTAGCTCTGGTCTTCATTTTTAAACCTGAACAATTACAGTGCTGAGTCTTTTAAAAGATTGTATAATCGCTACAAGTTTCACATATACTTCGGACGGTGCAACTTAGCACCTAAAGATACCCAATCGTAGGACGAAACCAGGTTGTTAAAAGTGATATGATTAATAATATCAATGCTTCTAGACTCTGGCTTAATCATTATCCCTTGTGTAAGTGACGAGAACCGAGTGTAAATAAAGTGATGATCAGCTAACCTACGCGAGACTACAAACGACTTCACCAATAAAGTATCAAGGACTCTCACATTAATGTGGTCAATGCACGACATGACTAACTTATCCCCAAGAAATTCAACTCTTGTGGGAGCAAGTATTGTGTTTTCAAATCCAGAGCCTGCGAGTAGATCCAAGTAGTCGCATACCAAAGGGGAATTATCTTTTATGGTGTCAGTATCACTATCACCAAAGGGTGGCTTATATTTTGCCAGCAAGGATACCACAAACTCAGCCCTGCTAAGCTCAGAAGCCAAAGCTTCAGCATGACTGAAGTAAACCGGTACCTCGGTGATCATCCAATCATCCCTTATAAAGATCCCAATTCCACCTCCTTTGCCTGAGGGAAAGTCATGGATAGATATTTGGAGGCCCAGTCTGCGTACCTTTTCAAAAACTCATTTGGGATTCCGTCAGGCTTGGGGCTCTTTTTTGTGTTGATATTAAGTAAAAGCTTCAAAACTCCTTCCTCGTTTATTTCTATATTTATTTCTATATCTTTAATAGGAGGGCTCTCTGAAAAGTCAACAAATCTGGCAAATTTCATCGTCCTCAGTAAATACGGACGAAAAGAAGGTGTTAAATTGTTCCGTGCGCTTTTGGTCATTGGTTTCATCGCTAGTGCGACTAGTTGACTGAGGGATTAACATACCGTCAAAACTTATCTGGAGTGAGAAATCTTTTAAGTGTTGCATTGTAAAATCTCTCTTTAGACTCGTTCACTAGCCGTTTTAATTCCTGACTCATGCGGTGAATAAATGGTTTATCTTCGATATTCAAACCATTTGAACGCGCTCGCTTGAGTTTGAGTTTTCTGTTTGCATGTATTATTTTCCTATTGGGGCTTTTGTTCCTAATCATTCTAAAACGCTTTGGAATAAACCACTCAAAGCATTGCTTAGTCATATTCGTAAATAAGTCCCATAGCAAGTCAGTACTGGCATTGGATTGGAAAAGAAACAAAGTCATCCAATGACTCTTCAAGATAATCAAGTACGCTGACATCATCGGCAGCCCCGAAATTTAGAACCATTTTTTGCGAGTAACTATGCATGGACATTTGGGGTAACTTCCAAAGTATCATTTTATGATCCGAAGGGCCCTCGATAAGTATGAATGACGCGTTTCTCATGACAAAGATCCAGAAACTGCAGGTAAAGAATGACACAAACACTGAAAGGTCTCGTTTGTGTCGTTTTCTATTTGCAGTCTTAGTGTTCTTTGTCATGTTTAATTTGCACACTTACTCTCAGAAGCTTTCACATGCCTCTTTTCGACATGGTCGACCGTGAGGTGGGATAGCAGCTGTGTGAGCTCGCTCGTCGGGAATCTTCTTCAACCTCTCTCTCGTTTGTACCCCTGTGCAGAAAGAAGGGATGGACTCCGAAATCAACGTCCCTTTGAGCAAGGACACCGAGATGAGAGCGGCCATCTTGGAAGGCTGTCGTCCAAGTCCTTCCAAATCTCAGGTAGGCACTTGCTGCTGTATCGAGCTAGGACCACTTCAGCTGCGCGATCTGTGGGGACCTTGGGAGTTGTTCTTTGCTCTAAATATGACTCCCTGCTCAGTTGCAGTAAACATTTTTGGAAGTTGTCAACTTTGCCGAGGGACAAGACTAGCTACAAGGATAGTGTCTAGAAGTCCGGGGGTCACCATGACCATCTAAGCACACGTTAAGCGTAGTCCTTCCATGTCAAAGGAGACACAACATTCTTTTCATGTCTGGGATGTGTACTAAAAATAATTTGAATAAAGAAGCCTCTAACCTCAAAAAAAAAAAAAAAAAAAAACTTGCAACAAACTTAATTTTATTTTTGCTGATAATATGCTCTAAATTTCTGGAATTTGCATAGAACCCATGTAGTTAAGAAAAACATTGTAAAAAAAAAACGGTTGCTTATTATGTACAAATTTAGATGGCTGCTTAATTACTTAATAATATTTCTTTATCTTACATTAAAATACAAATAGTTTATGAGATTTCTTTATTTTTTTTAGTCAACTTGGATTTGGGTGCTAGCTACAATACTTTTTTGCTTTGTTCTCCTAAGACTAATAATTGAATTGCTTGTACTAAATTTTCACAGGCTCGTTTTGTTTTGTCTCAATTAAATGCCAAAATCTCCAGTTTATGGAGAAATGACCATATTGAGAGCCATAAAAAGCAATGTTGGCAGCAGTGCCCGGAACTTTCTAAATAGCCAAAAGCTCAATTCACTTTATTTGTTTACCATATAAAAGAAATCAGAAAATTACTTTTTGTCGTTGTTGAGAAATTGCTTTTTAAAGGTGAGCCTCTCCGACCATGCCTCCAGGCGTCCGCTTCGTATGGCTAGTGACGTTACTGATAGGAATGGTTAAAAAAAATTACCGAGCGAAAACATGATACTGTACAACACCTAAACAGCAGGGAAAGCAGGATTGCTAACACTTGAAGAAAAGAGAGTATGGTCAATGATTGGTCTAAGGGATGCAGGTAAATGATTCCAGTCATTTGAAACTCTACGAATGAGATGTGAAAAATTTGTTGTGGCAAAATGGGGTGCCTACTTTGTTACAGTGATTAAGATGTGTGAATACAAATGATGGTGAAGTTATTAGCTCACTAGACCATTTTTGTCAAAAAGGCAAATAGTAGATATTTTGTGGCGATGTACAAAGTTGGTTAGATGTGACGCGTCTTACAGCGGGGCTGTTAAGGGCTGGTTTCCCAGTTTCGTGTCCGTCGCCAAATAAATGTCGACACAAAACTCTGGACAACTGCCGCCATCTATGTGCGGCAGCGGCAAGTTTTCCAGCTTTTCCACTCTGGGTTTCACCAGAGTGAAAAGGCTGAATTTCTCTAGGCGTCGTCCTAGAAGTCGTCTTCGAGGTCGTCCTAGACGTCGTCCTTGAGATCGTTCGAGAGGTTGTCCTTGAGGTCGTCCTAGAAGTTATCCTTGAGGTCATCCTAGACGTCGTCGTCGAGGTCGTCCTAGAGTCGCCCTTCGGTCATCTTAGACATTGTCCTCAAGGTTGTCCTAGAAGTCGTCCTTCAGGTCGTCCTGGACGTCGACCTGGACGTCGTCCTTGAGGTCATCCTATACTTCGTCCTTGAGGTCGTCCTAGGCGTCGTGTTTGAGGTCGTCCTAGATGTTGTCCCTGAGGCCTTCCTAGGCGCCATCCTCTAGGCGTCGTCCTCTAGGTCGTCCTAGAAGTCATCCTTGAGGTCATTTTAGACGTCGTCCTTGAGGTCGTCCTAGACGTCGTCCTCGAGGTCGTCCAAGAGGTCGTCCTTGAGGTCGTTCCACCATAGTACAGCTTCACTGGTCTTCTTTCTTCACCAGAGTAGAAAGGCCGAAAGTTTTTTTCATTGGTGTTTCGGTAGTGGTGCAATTATAATTAGCCAATATGATAGGGTAAGAATACAGGTTGCAACTTTGTTGTACAATCAGCACGACAGCTAAATTCTAGGGACAGTTCCACCAGTTTGTGACATGCGATTTCTTTACATAGTGTGTAAAAGTATGCAAACTTTTCTTGGAAACCCAACCCATGTAAAAGGGGAACTTATTCCGCCTGGAAAGGGAAATGTCAGGGAATCAATAGACCTAGGGACATTAGCGCGGGACTAGAATTTAAAGGACAACTCTCCTCAATTCTGAAGATTTCATGATAAGGAGTGATTTCGCATTAAGGGAGGAGGTGGGGACTAAATATAACTTTCTTATTTCTAGATATGTCTGAACGAAATTTACAGGGTGTGTTTATAGCACAGACATAAGAGTAACTGCAAAGTTTCATGGAGCTGTGCATATTATTTCTCAAGTTACAAAGATTTATCAAAATCGTCCATATGCATTCCTTATCCCAGGCCTGGAGAATTTGAAAAAGGTAGTAGCGGCGTAAGATTTGTTATGATGACCCCTGGATAGGTTCCCTAGGGCATAACAGAGCCCTTTTTTTAAATTTCTTTGTTGAACAATTTTAATGCAACTTTGAATTTTGTGTAGTCAATGAAACCCACATTCGTCAAATTTAATTTCTTTATTATAAATATTTAGCACAGTTTTCTAAAAAAAAAGGGCTCTGTTATGCCCTCACAAAGTTATTTAGGAACAGAATAAAAAAGACAGCACAAAAATCCATTCATCAGTTCCTGAGATATCGCTGGGACGAGCAGCCACGGCAGTGAAAAAATCCATTCTGAGAAAACAGTACTTGAAAGTTGCACACAGATTTTCAGCTTTAGAATGACCCTGCAGAATAGTCAGAAGTGTTCTTGCGCACTTTCTTCTTGTTCCGCCTTTCCAACTTCTCTTGATGTCGTTTGCTGGCCTTGTGCAGACGTAGGGCATCTTTCTTGGCAGCTCGTTGGAGGGCTAGATGGGCCGGCTGGAGTCCCACTGCAACCGATATTTCTGCAGTTGCCTTGTAGCAACCGGCGTTGAACCTCAACACCGCTTTATGCAGTGCAGTTTCGACAGTGATCAGCGATGCATGCTGTTCCTTAGGCATCAAAGACCACAGGACAGAGTGGAAAGACTCAGATGCATTCCGAGTCTTTGCTCCCAAGCAGCGTTGAAGCAGAGAAACCTGCGACAGGCGTTGGTAGCCGGGCAGCATTGCTGCAGCGACGTAGGCCGGGAGTTTGTGCTTGTGCTGGGGCTGTGGCTCACCTTTTGCCTCGGCAACTCTATGACGGCACCATGATTGAGCTCCCTCCGGGCAGAGTTCATGGTGAGGCTCCTGGTCAGTCGACGTGACATAATGGTAGGTGGCCATAACAGCACGCTGCATCGCTGCCATGTCCTTGGGGTTGTTTCGGAGGGCCCAGCCATAGTAGTCCGTAACCTTGTCGATGAGGGCCTTCGTCAACCTGCCCTTACTGCTCAACGGCTTGTCGCTCTTTTGAACAAGGTTGCGCAGTGCCGTTCCCATCCTCTTCTGAACATGGTTCAAACACTCTTCCTTCACGATGGGGACTAGCCCGTAGACATTCTCTTCTGTAAGGGCAGAGAAGGTCCTGCTGTCCCTGTCGGAGACAAGTGCTGTATACCGCAGGTCGTGCATGGAGATAGAGCGCTTGAAGAGGGTCAGGGCCGCCTCGACCTCCATCCTCCCAGATTTGGCGTCCGTGTTTTTCTGGCAGACATTATGCATGTGCCAGCTGTCATACCCTTGATCTCCAGGCTTGGGTCCTGTTTGGCACCCAAGGCACAGGTTGGATAAAACCACGGCGTCCAAGATGAGGCCTCTGTGGTATTCTATGACTGACCTTACTCCGATGTGAGATGTGTGCCTTCTCTTGTGCCATGTGCCGTCATACATCACGGTGATATCCTTGCAGAACCCCGGGTCCATCTTCTTACAGGCTGTCTTCACCGCGACAGCTGACTCGGCATAAAACTTTTCCACGCACAGGGCCTCTGGCTCTCTGAAGGTCTTCTTCAGGTGCTCCTGGAACGTTTTGTGGTGGAGACCTCTGTGGGAGACGTTCATAGCTGCCCAAAAGTCATTGAGAGCTGTCTGCCCCTTTCCTATCTGCTTGATCGCCATGATGAAGCGGATGTTGACTTCGAAGGCCCTCGAGTCTTGTTGGCGTGGCGAAGTCCAGGAACTTGCAATAATGCCGCAGTGGGGGCATACGACCTCGAGTTTTGCTGCCAGTCTGAGTTTGGTGCCTTCTTGGTCAGTCAATCCAGTCCCCGAGCAATGCTTGCACACTGTGCAGCAGAGCAGGTTGCTCAAAACGTCGATCTGAACAAGGCAGAACTTCTCACCTTGGTTTGTAGCAGAGGCAGGCGTGGGATTGGGCAGCATGGCTTCAAACTTCCTCTGGGTTGCTGACATAGCTCCAAGTTCGGCTTGAACGGTATCACAATGTCTAGCTTCTGCTTCGATCTCCTCACGTGTCAGGAAATGCATCCGCAGATGGGTGCTGGAAGACGCGCTCCCACTTGTCGCGGCAGGCGGAAGACGGGTGCTGGGACCCGCAATCTCGGGAGGAACCACAGCGGTCGGCATGCTCGGAACTCGAGGCGTGAGCGGGGCGATATGTTCTTCCTCGACGACAACTGATGGCACAGAAACTCCATCACTGGAAGTGTTGACGCGATCATCATTGACGGCACGCCGCGCGGAAACTTCTAACTTCGCCATCCGCACTAACTTCATGGACCGCTTCCGCGCGCCAAGCGCGCGCACCGTCTTGTACTTCGAGCCCCGCATCGTGTGCGACCACGAAACAGGAGGACACGCTACACGAAACTACTCAAAGAAAGTTCGGAAAACGATCGTAAAGATGGCAAAAAACGAAGCAGAGCTGACAAAGCAAGAGCGCGTGCAAGCAGACCACTACCGAGAGCAGACGACGCAAGCGGCAACAGCAGGAGAAACAGAGGAGGAAGAGAGCGCTCCGCGCGTGGAGAAATCGTGTCCCAGCCAATAGCAGTCGTGCGCGGTCTGTCCAATCGCGTTCTTGCGATT